GTGAATTTTAAGGAATTTTCTCATTTTCAAGTCACAATTTTAAGGAATTTTTAGGAATTTTTTGGAATTCTTTCATTTCCATGGCACAATTTGGGTGAATTTTAAGGAATTTTAGGAATTTTCTCATTTCCAAGGCAAAATTTTAAGGAATTTTAAGGAATTTTAAGGAATTCTTACATTTCAAGGCACAATTTGGGTGAATTTTTGGGAATTTTTAGGATTTTTTAGGAATTCTTTCATTTTCAAGTCACAATTTTAAGGAATTTTTAGGAGTTCTTTCACTTTCAAGGCACAATTTGGGTGAATTTTTGGGGATTTTTAGGAATTTTCTCATTTCCAAGGCACAATTTGGGTGAATTTTTGGGAATTTTTAGGAATTTTCTCATTTCCAAGGCACAATTTGGATGAATTTTTTAGGAATTCGGCACCATGGACACATTCCAAGGATTTTTTTTTAGGGATTTTTTCATTTTCGAGGCAAAATTTGGGTGAATTTTAAGGAATTTTAAGGAATTTTTAGGAATTTTCTCATTTTCAAGGCACAATTCCGGTGAATTTTTGGGAATTTTTAGGAATTCTTTCATTTTCAAGTCATAATTTGGGCGAATTTTTGGGAATTTTTAGGAATTTTCTCATTTCCAAGGCACAATTTGGGTGAATTTTAAGGAATTTTAAGGAATTTTAAGGAATTTTCTCATTTCCAAGGCACAATTTGGGTGAATTTTTAGGAATTCTTTCATTTTCAAGTCATAATTTGGGCGAATTTTTGGGAATTTTTAGGGATTTTCTCATTTTCAAGGCAAAATTTTAAGGAATTTTAAGGAATTTTTAGGAATTCTGTCATTTCCAAGACACAATTTGGGTGAATTTTAAGGAATTTTTAGGAATTTTTAGGAATTCTTTAATTTCCAAGGCACAATTTGGGTGAATTTTAAGGAATTCTCTCACCATCGACACATTCCAAGGACATTTTCTAGGAATTCTTTCATTTCCAAGGCACAATTTGTGTGAATTTTAAGGAATTTTAAGGAATTTTCTCATTTCCAAGGCACAATTTGGGTGAATTTTAAGGAATTCTCTCAACATCGACACATTCCAAGGACATTTTCTAGGAATTCTTTCATTTCCAAGGCACAATTTGGGTGAATTTCTTGGGAATTCAGCAACATGGACACATTCCAAGGTCATTTTCTAGGAATTCTTTCATTTCCAAGGCACAATTTGGGTGAATTTTAAGGAATTTTAAGGAATTCTCTCATTTCCAAGGCACAATTTGGGTGAATTTTAAGGAATTTTCTCATTTCCAAGGCACAATTTGGGTGAATTTTAAGGAATTTTCTCATTTCCAAGTCACAATTTGGGTGAATTTTAAGGAATTTTAAGGAATTCTCTCATTTCAAGGCACAATTTGGGTGAATTTTAAGGAATTCTCTCATTTCCAAGGCACAATTTGGGTGAATTTCTTGGGAATTCAGCAACATGGACACATTCCAAGAACATTTCCTAGGAATTCTCATTTCCAAGTCACAATTCCGGTGAATTTCTTGCGAATTCAACAACTCCAAGGACACTTTTTAGGAATTCTCTCACTTCCAGGACCAAATCCCGGGGATTTTTTAGGAATTTCACGGCACGGATCCACTCCCAAGGACATTTTTTAGGAATTCTCTCCCTTCCAGGACCTGATTCCGGGGATTTTTTAGGAATTTTCCTCATCACATTTGAATTTTTGGACCCGTTTCTGGTGGGGTTTTGGACGTTTCCGGAATCCGGATCCGCTCTGAGAGGTTTTTTTTTTAGGAATTCTGACTTCCGGGAGCTGATTTGGGTGAGTTTTAGGAATTTTTTCGCTTCCAAGTTTGGTTTTGGGCGGGGTTTCGAGGATTTTCCCACATCTAAAAATTCATTTTTGAGGGTTTTTAGTTTCGTTGAGACCGTTTTTGGTCGTTTTTAGGAATTTTTTCCCTTCCAGGACCCAATTCCAGCACATTCCAGGACCTTTTCCCCCATCCCTGACCCCATTCTGAGGGATTTTAGCAATTCTTTCCCTTCCAGGACCTTTTTCCCCCATCCCTGACCCCGTTCCGAGGGATTTTAGCAATTCTTTCCCTTCCAGGACCATTTTTGGTCATTTTTAGGAATTCTTTCCCTTCCAGGACCCAATTCCAGCACATTCCAGGACCTTTCCCTCATCCCTGACCCCGTTCCGAGGAATTTTAGGAATTCTTTCCCTTCCAGGACCTTTTTCCCCCATCCCTGACCCCGTTCCGAGGAATTTTAGGAATTCTTTCCCTTCCAGGACCCATTTTTGATCATTTTTAGCAATTCTTTCCCTTCTAGGACCCATTTTTGGGTCATTTTTAGGAATTCTTTCCCTTCCAGGACCCATTTTTGGTCATTTTTAGGAATTCTTTCCCTTCCAGGACCCATTTTTGGTCATTTTTAGGAATTCTTTCCCTTCCAAGACCATTTTTGGTCATTTTTAGGAATTCTTTCCCTTCCAGGACCATTTTGGGTCATTTTTAGGAATTCTTTCCCTTCCAGGACCATTTTTGGTCATTTTTAGGAATTCTTTCCCTTCCAAGACCATTTTTGGGTCATTTTTAGGAATTCTTTCCCTTCCAGGACCCATTTTTGGGTCATTTTTAGGAATTCTTTCCCTTCCAGGACCCATTTTTGGTCATTTTTAGGAATTCTTTCCCTTCCAGGACCATTTTTGATCATTTTTAGGAATTCTTTCCCTTCCAGGACCCATTTTTGATCATTTTTAGCAATTCTTTCCCTTCTAGGACCCATTTTTGGGTCATTTTTAGGAATTCTTTCCCTTCCAGGACCCATTTTTGGTCATTTTTAGGAATTCTTTCCCTTCCAGGACCCATTTTTGATCATTTTTAGCAATTCTTTCCCTTCTAGGACCCATTTTTGGGTCATTTTTAGGAATTCTTTCCCTTCCAGGACCCATTTTTGGGTCATTTTTAGGAATTCTTTCCCTTCCAGGACCCAATTTTGGGTCATTTTTAGGAATTCTTTCCCTTCCAAGACCATTTTTGGTCATTTTTAGGAATTCTTTCCCTTCCAGGACCATTTTTGGTCATTTTTAGGAATTCTTTCCCTTCCAGGACCCATTTTTGGGTCATTTTTAGGAATTCTTTCCCTTCCAGGACCCTTTTTTGGGTCATTTTTAGGAATTCTTTCCCTTCCAGGACCCATTTTTGATCATTTTTAGGAATTCTTTCCCTTCCAGGACCCATTTTTGATCATTTTTAGGAATTCTTTCCCTTCCAAGACCATTTTTGATCATTTTTAGCAATTCTTTCCCTTCCAGGACCCAATTTTGGGTCATTTTTAGGAATTCTTTCCCTTCCAGGACCATTTTTGGTCATTTTTAGGAATTCTTTCCCTTCCAAGACCATTTTTGGGTCATTTTTAGGAATTCTTTCCCTTCCAGGACCCATTTTTGGTCATTTTTAGGAATTCTTTCCCTTCCAGGACCCATTTTTGGTCGTTTTTAGGAATTCTTTCCCTTCCAGGACCATTTTTGGTCATTTTTAGGAATTCTTTCCCTTCCAGGACCCAATTCCAGCACATTCCAGGACCTTTTCCCCATCCCTGACCCGGTTCCGAGGGATGTTAGGAATTCTTTCCCTTCCAGGACCCATTTTTGGGTCATTTTTAGGAATTCTTTCCCTTCCAGGACCCAATTTTGGGTCGTTTTTAGGCGTTTCCTTCCCAAACTTCTTCCGGTGCTTTCGGGAGCTCTTTCATTCCCAAAACCGTAATTCCAGAACTTTCCAAAGCTTTAATTCCAGAACATTCCGTGCCCTTCCAGAGCTGGAATTCCAGAACTTTCCAAAGCTTTAATTCCAGAACATTCTGGGCCCTTCCAGAGCTGGAATTCCAGAACTTTCCAAAGCCATAATTCCAGAACTTTCCGAGCCCTTCCAGAGCTGGAATTCCAGAACTTTCCAAAGCTTTAATTCCAGAACATTCCGGGCCCTTCCAGAGCTGGAATTCCAGAACATTCCGGGCCCTTCCAGAGCTGGAATTCCAGAACTTTCCAGAGCTGTAATTCCAGAACATTCCAGGCTCTTCCAGAGCTGGAATTCCAGAACTTTCCAGAACATTCCGGGCCCTTCCAGAGCTGGAATTCCAGAACTTTCCAAAGCTTTAATTCCAGAACTTTCCAGGCTCTTCCAGAGCTGGAATTCCAGAACATTCTGGGCTCTTCCAGAGCTGGAATTCCAGAACTTTCCAAAGCTTTAATTCCAGAACATTCCAGAACATTCCGGGCCCTTCCAGAGCTGGAATTCCAGAACTTTCCAGGCTTTTCCAGGGCTGTAATTCCAGAATATTCCAGACCCTTCCAGGGCTGTAATTCCAGAACTTTCCAGGCTTTTCCAGAGCCGTAATTCCAGAACTTTCCAGAACATTCCAGGGCTGTAATTCCAGAACTTTCCAGGCTCTTCCAAAGCCATAATTCCAGAACATTCCAGGACCTTTCCAGAGCTGTGATTCCAGAACTTTCCAGGCCCTTCCAGAGCCGTAATTCCAGAACATTCCAGAACATTCCAGGGCTGTAATTCCAGAACTTTCCAGACCCTTCCAGAGCTGTAATTCCAGAACTTTCCAGGCTCTTCCACAGCCGTAATTCCAGAACTTTCCAGAACATTCCAGAACGTTCCAGAGTTGTAATTCCAGGCCCTTCCAGAGCCGTAATTCCAGAACTTTCCATCTCACAATTCCAGCGTTTTTAGGACCTTTTCCCCGTTCCATCCCAAAATTCCAGCGTTTTTAGGAACTTTTCCCCATTCCATCCCAAAATTCCAGCGTTTTTAGGAACTTTTCCCCGTTCCATCCCAAAATTCCAGCGTTTTTAGGAACTTTTCCCCGTTCCATCCCAAAATTCCAGCGTTTTTAGGAACTTTTCCCCGTTCCATCCCAAAATTCCAGCGGTTCCAGGAACTTTTCCCCGTTCCATCCCAAAATTCCAGCGTTTTTAGGAACTTTTCCCCGTTCCATCCCAAAATTCCAGCGGTTCCAGGGCCTCTCCCGAGCGTCCCCGAGCCGCTTTGACCACCCCCAAAAAAAAAAACCCCAACCCCACCAAATCCGTGCTGGGAGCTGCCGGGAACACCCCAGGAACACCAGAGAACACCCAGAGAACACCCCAAAGAACACCCAGGAACACCCAAAGAACACCCAGGAACACCCAGGAACACCCAGAGAACACCCAGAGAACACCCTGGAACACCCAGGAACACCCAAAGAACACCCAGGAACATTCTGAGAACACCCCAGGAACACCCAGAGAACACTCAAGGACACCCAGGAACACCAAGGGACACCCAGGAACATTCCGAGAACACCCCAGGAACACCCAGGAACATTCCAAGAACACCCAAAGAACACTCAAGAACACCCAGGAACACTCAAGAACACCCCAGGAACACCAAAGAACACCCTGGAACACCCAGGAACACCCAAAGAACACCCAGGAACACTCAAGAACACCCAGGAACACCCAAAGAACACCCTGGAACACCCAGGAACACCCAAAGAACACCCTGGAACACCCAGGAACACCCAAAGAACACTCAAGAACACCCAGGAACACCAGAGAACACCCAGGAACATTCCGAGAACACCCAGAGAACACCCAGGAACACCCAGAGAACACCCAGGAACACCCAAAGAACACTCAAGAACACCCAGGAACATTGTGAGAACACCCAGCAATATCCAAAGAACACCCAGGAACACCAAAGAACACCCAGGAACACCCCAAGAACACTCAAGAGCACCCCAGGAACATTCCAAGAACACCCCAAGAACACTCAAGAACACCCAGGAACACCAAGGAACACTCAAGAACACCCCAGGAACACCCAAAGAACACCAAGAAACACTCAAGAACACCCCAAGAACACTCAAGAACACCCAGCAACACCAAAGAACACCCCAGGAACACCCCAGGAACATTCCGAGAACACCCAGGAACACCCTGGAACACCCAGGAACACCCCAGGAACATTCCGAGAACACCCAGGAACACCCCAGGAACACCCAGCAACACCCAGCAACACCCCAAGAACACCCCAGCAACACCCCCACGCCGCGGGGGAACCCCGGGGCGCCTCAGGCTGAGGCCTGGGCCCCGTTTTGGGGCTGTCGGTGCCGTTGGGGTGACTCTCGCTCCGCCTGTGCCGCAGGGGCCGCTCGGAGCAGCCGCGGGTAAGAGGAGCCCCCCAAAAAAAGTGGGGCCCAAAGGACTTTTTTGCCCCCCCCCAGAGCAGCTGTAAGTAGCCCCTGGTGTTGTTTTTTTTTTTGTCTCCCCCCCCCTCTCTTTCTTTCCCCTTTTTCTCCTCTTTTTCCACCCGAAAATGAAGCGCCCGAGGAGGGAGGAGTTTGCCAAAATTTAAAAAATTAAAAAAAAACCAAAAACCCCAGGATTTTGTGGCTCCCCCCCTCCCCAAAAAGCCTGGGTTTGGTCCTGGGGGCTCGTTAGCGCCGTAATTAGTGATCGGTGGGGTAATTAACAACCCGCGGGGGGGTCACTGAT